CAGAATTTAAAGATATTTTATTCAAAAACACTTAATGCTCGTTGACTTCTAGACTTATCAATGTACCTCACACGCAGATGAGCTTCATGGGTTAATGTGTAAAGATTAGCACACAGCCTTTAATTACTTAATGAATTTTACAGCATTTGCCCATAGAACCTGTGATGTTTAACGTGAAATATAAAATGCTGAAATTATGGACACGCTATAAATATGATCATATTAAGGACTGATAAGAATTGAAGGGTTAAGTTGTAATACCTGGAGTGTTAGAAATCTGAATAAATCACGCTATCTGGCCTATAGACTATCTGTGTGAGTGTGTATAGGTGTGTGTTACACGTGCAGAATGGGCATAGGCTGGTAGCTTCTTAGTGTTCCTGCAGTTGATGGACAACACCGTGGACGATGGCATGGAGAACAGAGACACGCTGACAGGTTAGTAAGGGCACAGATAAAAGGCGCAGGAGAAGCTGTGCAGCCATCAGCTTCATCTCAGCTGGGTTCCCACCAGGGCAACTCACCTGGTGGCAGAGGCATGACACACGGTGTTTCACCGACGGGCCTCACCCGAGATTCACACGGGCTCGCACATTTATCTGCCACACATATGGTTCGTCTTGTGTTTTCTAGCCAGCAAGGCCACAGCTCAACCTTGCTGGGGGATCACCTCCAGATGTTCAACCAAAGAGAGACCCTGCTACCCCACTGAGAGCAAGCAGACAGCTCCTCCCCGCATCTGGGGCCTCTCAGCGCCTGTACAAATTCGAAAAATTGCCATCTTTGTAATGGTCGTGTTTGTAGTTCAAAAACAGGTAGAACTCACAACTTTGTCTGAATACTGACTTTCTTAGTAAATAGGCGGAAACTTACAGATAGTACCAAGTAACTTTTTATTTTAAATACCTGAAAGAAGCCACACCTGGCAGGCGGGTTTTCTGGGACTTTTGTTAGCAGATTCTCCTTGCTCATGTTAATTGCTCACTTTTCCACTCTGGCCAATTTGACTGTTTAAAGAAAAACAGCTTTTGTGAAATACCTAAAACACAATAGGAGGTGCAGGTTAACTCCCTCCGTGCCTTTAGGTCTTGCAGTGCCAGCCGCAGGGGGTCCCATGTCTCTCTTTTCCATTTCCCGAAACTTGACAAAGCCCATTTTGTTCCAGAGATGGTGGTAGTTTACTGTCCACATCCACACTGGCATTTGGTTCATAACCTGGGAAGGAAGGTGTCAAAGCCTTGCTCCCGAACGTTAGGTTTTCAGGTATTGATGAAAAAGGCAAGTGAGGGAGAAATGGGGGGCAATCCTAGATTTTTGACACATGCCATTGGGTCACACTGTTCACTCAGGTGAGAAAATAGGTGATGGATCCATTTGGGTGGGCTGGGAATAAAGATGATCTTTGAGCCGTTTAAAGTTTATGGTGCCTATTAGATATTCCAGATCTAAGCAAAAACATGAAGCAAGCAGCTGACTCGGCAGGTTTGGAGCTCTGGGGAGACATTGGAATTGTTTGTATTAATCCAGTTGTCATCAGAATGTGGCCGTTTCAGAGCAGAGTGCAGAGTGGAAGGGTGTAAAAGCGCCTAGGTGTCTACTCTTTTTGGGAGACACTTCAGTTTTTCTTGGGCATGAAGTGTCTTCTTTATAAAATACGGGTTTGAAGAGTATTATACATTTTCCAACACCACCATTTTATACCTGTATGATCTTCATGCATAAGTGAACTGTTGTATGTCAAGAAATTGTTTCTCTTTACAAACCATTAAGGAATTCTGCCCTTGGAAGAGGGTCTGTTTGTCATTCGGACTTCATGTCCAGTTTTCACAGCGTTATTCAGTCTGGGAGTTTTCTCCCTCCTGGTTCCTCTAGGGCATCAGAGGTGAAGATAAAGCCAGGGAACTGCTGGAATAAATGGCATGGTGTCTAGATGGCTCTCTAAAAATTGTTATACACAATTTCCGTACAGATCTCTGTCAGTGAGGTGGTAAATACCGACCCAGCTTGATTCATGGATGAAATGATGTGATTCCTGGGTACTTTAGTCATCTCAGAATAATATTAATAGGTCAGATCTTAGAAGGTTTTCTGTTAAAATGAACATATGATATATTCTGTGAACATTCAGCATTTTGTCAGCGGTAGAGATTTTCTCAGACATACTTGCTTTGGGAAATGAGAGTCCAGTATATTCACACAGTTTGTCTGGCCTTTGGCTGCGCCGACACCAGTAATATTAACCTCGTGCTTTCAAAGGTGCTGTGATGGTGTCTTGTTTTCCTTTCTAAAATGCATCACCCTCCCTGACACGTATTAATAGTCTATTGAAATTGCCGATAGATGTGGCATTCGTGCGGTCATTAAGTGACTTTTGTCAGGAGAGATTTCAGTCAAATAGTGTGGATGAAAGCCTGTTTGTTGTGAATTCTAAAGTGAATGAAAGAAGAAAAATAAAGACGGGAAGAGAGACAACTCAAGGAGTTTTACTGTGAAGTTTTACAGGATGGCTGTGGAGGGAGGGGCAGGTTTTATTTAAGAGGAATGAAACCACCGAAAGCGCACAAGTGAGGGCACCCCATTAGAGGGGGGACTGTGGGATGGAGCAGGCAAGTGCAGGGGCGCAGACCCCCTGAAGCCAGCGACGGACCGGGCCAGGAGCGCAGACGTCGCTCTCATTGCAGCCGGGGGAGGGCGACTGGGACAGTCTGGTTTCTCAGCTGGTGCTTCTATTTTCCCAGTGAAAGGAGAAGCAAAGGTATGGGCAGGGAGTGAGGAAAAGGCCTGGAGATTACTAATTTGAGGAGAGAGGAGTCATATGAAATAGTCACCGAAGGAGGGGGGCAGTAAATTATCTGGAGAAATGTAGTGGGATTGCCAGGGCCCATTTGGGGGCTACGATCGTGAATTTGAAGAGAGGCACTCGGCACGATTGCAGCTTATTTATTTGTTTCCCAGCTCATTCAGCGGCTCGGGTTTGCAGAGATTTGTTATTAACCCAGGTTAGAAGTCCTGGTTATGAAAAGGCAGGGCAGTTGGAGATAATGTAAGGGAGCGAGTTTTAATGATCGAGGTGGAGCCCCATCCGGCCAGGAGGGAGCCGAGGGACTGTGGGGAGGGGTGATGGGCAGTGAGAATGTGGTTGGCTCGGTGGCTTTTAGGACCCTCCAGAGATGAGGTCTGGTTGTGGTCAGAATGTCCTGAGGATGAGCCAGAAGAAAGGAGTGAGGTTGGAAACTGAGATTCAGGCGAGGGTCCAGTACAGATAAAGTCCAAGTCTGGGGTGTGATGGTGATGTTGAGAGCGGAGGTACAGTGGAGGCCAAGGCCACCGGAGGTAAGGAGGCCAAGGCCCTGAGCGGCCCTGTTGGAACTGGGGAGGAGAGCAAGAGCAACAGGAAAGCCTTTTTCCTCTTGGTTATTAAATACTCCTGCAGCCAGGCATCCAGAAGCTGGAGAAGATGCGGAGTCTCCCTTCTCAAGCAGGGACTTTTGACATGGCATTTCCTGGGCACTGGTCATGTGCTGTCCGTCTAACCTTTCATGAATGGCCCTCAGTCCCTGGGCGACAACCACACGGACCATATAGTTGTTTTTTTCTCTAGGCCTGTTTATCTTTATTTCCACCCCTCACACACGTTACTAACCGTCCCTTCCCATCCTTCATCTTTCATGTCTCAGGCTAAACATAGCACCCTCTCGGCGAAACCTTCCCTAACAGTCCACACTCCACTCCATGCCACTGGGATGTGCCCTTGTAACACCGTGTTTCTTTCTTTTCCATGTACCATACCTGCAAACAAGAATGCGTTTATCAGCTTCTAACAGTAGCCTTTAAGTTTCATGAGGGCAGGGTGATGGCTGTTTTCCCAGTGCTCGGAACGGCGTCTTGAACATAGTTGGCACTCAACTGGTATTCATTGAAAAATGAATGAAAACTCCCAATAGTTCTACCTACAGTGAAAATGAAGGGCTTCATCAGGGCCTCTTGAGGTTTATGCCTAAAGGGGTTACGACACCCTTCAAAGTTTGAATCCTTATGTTTTCTAACTCTAACGTGTGTGTTTAGTTTTAAAAACATAGGTCGGTGTGAGTGGGAGGGTAGACTTGAATTTTACGTAGAAAAGTCTGCATTCATGCTTTTAGCGGTGGTGTTCTGAGTGTGTTGCTTATTACATAATTGGCATGTTGCTTATGTGGGCACTGACTCAGCAGAAAACCAAACACTTTTGAAAACACAGTTCAAGATCCGCAGATGAGCAGTCAATAGAGTCAGTGTCAAATAAAACAAAAGGCCTATCTATGGGAGGTGAAATCAGATTGAGAATTTCTCCCCATTACTGAGCTTTTATGACTACCGTATTTTGCTATTATTTAAATTAGGTGTGTTATCAGTTATCTTTTAAAATCAGTGGCCAGTTAATTCATACACTTTTGAAGATTAAGTAGGGTTTAATTTACAAATAAACAAAAGGTCTAAATAATAATTATCAAATTAAAAAAATAATTTCTTGTTTCTTTCCTAATGTTTAATTTCCCTTTGGATGGGTTCGTAGGACACTTTTAGTGCAGTCAAAAAAATTTGAAGCCCTACATATTTTTTAAGTTCAGGATTTCATATTGTTATTTTCGTGTTTTACAAGTATATATAAGAAGGTGTTTTATCACTTGACCATTTAGGAATAGGACTGTTAGCATTTGTATTCTGGATTTTATAGTGGTTGACATTTTTTGAAAAACGAGATTTTTGGAAAATTTTTGCTACCTTTCTATTATTTTCATTACATTTCCTATTTTGAGAAGAAAAAAAAAATTCCAGGTTTATTTGGATTAAATTGACTCCGTTCTTGTGAAAGTTTTATGGTTTCCATAGAAAAAGTTTATTTACCTCTTTTCCACCATTTTCTAAGTGTGTTAAAGAGTCATTAGAAATCTAAGTGCATTTTGCTGCCCTGTTACCACCAAGAACTATTGAATGTTGAACCCCTCAACACTCTCTTCTAGCTGCTTTCGAAATCTATTGAACAACTGAAGCAACCAGGCAGTCACCTGGAGGAAGCCGAGGAAGAGCTTCAGGGGGACCAGGCGATGCAGGAAGACAGAGCGCCCTCTAGTGGCAACAGCACTAGGAGCGACAGCAGTGCTTGTGTGGAGGACACTCTGGGACAAGTTGGGGCTGTGAAGGTGAAGGAGGAGCCAGTGGACAGTGATGAAGATGCTCAGATCCAGGAAATGGAATCTGGGGAGCAGGCTGCTTTTATGCAACAGGTAATAGGCAAAGATTTAGCTCCAGGATTTGTCATTAAAGTCATTATCTGATCATAAAATGCACTGCAGATTTTGGTAAATGGATTATCATTTCCTATCTCTGAATAATCTGATTTTCGAGTTTAAGGATTCTAACTAATGTGTATATATCTATATAGAGGTCTCTGTAGACTGATCTCTATATAGATATCAAGGTTTCATCGAAACTTCACTGGTAAGGAAATACCTGTTACACTAATATTATACTACATAAGCATCCAAGTAATTAACAGGCTTTAAGTTCATCCCAAAGCCTGCCGCATCAGTTACTTCGAAAGAAAACCAACTCACTGTTGTTTTAGTTTATCTGTTGAGATCAGTGACTGCTGGATAGAGAGTCCCAGTCCGATCAATGACACATTCTATTAGTTCTTGATTTTTTTTTTTAACATGTAGAATTCAATGTTCACATTGTTGTACATAATGTATGATACTAGTCTTGAACACTGTTAAAGGTAGTCTGCCCCTTCCTTCCTCTCTCATTTTTGTTAAGTGACATGTTCTGGTTACCATGCCAATAGTCCTAGGTTACTGTATAGATTGCAATTGAAAATATTAGGAATAGAGGTGGTTTTAAATATATAGATGCAAAGTACAGCACTCTTTTAAATATCACATTATGTCTCACCTAGCACTGCTCGTGTTACTTTTATCTTGTGTTATTTGATGACACTGTCTATCCACAAAAGATAAATGAAGCAGATGCAGATGTTGGCAAGAAGGAACGTGTGCAGCCTGATGGTCCAATCAGATACTCTCTTGTATCTACAGTTGCAGAAAACACGGCAAGAGTGTGCTTATTTCTGATACGAGGTCCACATCATGTTTCAGAGAAGCCAGTTATCATATTTTATAATCTCTATCCCTAGGATCTCTTAAGTATAATTCCATAACGCCCTGGCATACGCCATCCCACTTGGGCAGATAAAATATTAGGGAGGCGAGGCTTGACAGAAGAACCCACTGGTACATAATGCACCTTCAGAAGGACTGTGTCCTTTGATGCTATCAAATGCAGACAACTTTGAAGGCCACAGAAGGCTGTTTATTTAAGTCACTTCTTTGTCAGGTCCCTGCTGTTCTGCAGAAAGCTGATTCCACGAGGCTGAAGGGGAAATGCCTGTGGAAGCAGGAAGTCCAAGTGATTCATGTCCCGGGGAATGCAGGGGGGAAGCAGTAGTGTTTTCCTCTTTCTGTTTTTAAAGGGCGCTCTATGAATTGATTTATTGTCTAAGAAAATAACACCCCACGTAGGGAAATTGTTAAGGAAGCTTTCCACTGGAACACTTCCTTCACTGCTCCCTTTTGATATGTTTACCTTGTTTTATAGGTTTACTTTTGTTAAGCTGGTTAAATATTCGTTGTGTTAAGACCCCTCTAATATGAATAATCCGAGTTGACCTAGAATCTTTGTGAAGTTTTTTTCTATTAAAATATTTATATTTCTAAATCCGAGGTATTGAAAGGTGTAGTATCCTGTTTCAAAGGAGATATAGCAGTTTTGCCAAATGTAGACATTGTACAATTGTTATGTTACTGGCACGTGTTGTTTACATTTTGCTGTGACATTTAAAAATATTTCTTAAAAAAAAAAAAGGTTACTGCTAAAGATACATTATCCTTTTTTAAAAAGTCTCCATTCAAATTAAATTAATACAGCTAGAAGTTAGAAAGTTTAAAACTTTTCCATATAATGAAAGTCCTGATCATTTGACAAATAGCTATAATACTTCCTATTACCAAGATATTTTGGTTAGTCTATTCCTTCAGATTAAAATGACGTTTTGTCAGTTTTTTTGCATTAAAAATACGGCATTCCTAAAATAAAATTGTATATTTTTTCCATCTCATAAATATACATTTTCTTTAAAGTCTTTTTTTCAATCTCATAAAAAAAGGGATAGTGCATCTTTTAAAATACATTTTATTTGGGGAGGAACATGTGGCTGAGCAGACTTTTGTATAATATTACTTCAAAGATATGTAATCACAAACAAAAAAAAACAACCCTATTTTTTATAATGTTATTTGAGAGAGCTTCATCAGTACAGTTGGTGGACGTTCACTGTTTGAATTTGATAGTCTTTGAATTTAATCAAGAAACTACCTGGAACCAGTGAAAAGAAAAGCTGGACTTAAATAATCTTAAAGCTAATTGATAATTGTCTCTTTTAAAATCTACTGTATTTATTATAATTTACACCCTTGATGGTGATCTCTTGTTTTGTGTTGTAAATATATTGTTTGTATGTTTCTCTTCTTGCCTTCTGTTATAAGTCTCTTCCTTTCTCAAATAAAGTTTTTTTTAAAAGATCCCCTTTCATACATATGGCTTTGTGTAAATTTGATATATAATCGAATTCGAAGCTCACGCATTAGGTGTCATCTACCAAAATATATTACCACTCTTTGTTGAAACAAGAAAATAAACATATTTTGAGCAGTTACTTCTATGCCATTAATAATAATAAATCCAACAATAATGATTTAAAGTATCTACATGAGCCATTATCAAATAGCAAACACATGTAAACTTTGTTGCCTTTTCATTCCCCCAGTGTGGCCTTTTTCATGATATGCTATCAACTTTGATGTCAATATAAAATTTTATGTAAATAGATGTCAATTCCTAACTTTTTTCAACTTAAAAAATTATTTTTAAACAGGTTAACTTAATCCCTTGACTATAACAAGCACTCAATAAATATTAAAATAAATAACTTTTTATGTATTATGATAGTTCTATCTATTACAGTGAGAGCCTGACCTACAAGTATAAAGTGACAGTACATAAATTTAAGGAGAAAAGAGTAATTAAATTACCTCCCCTTATATGGAAATAATTATTTAATGCTACTGTGAAAAACAAGGAGTCTGACTCAGGAAACGGGAACTGGACCAAGACATCCCATAGGCCATGACATGCTTTGTTCCTCTTCTGGTCAGTTGCTAGCAAAATTAATTAGCCCATATTTCATAACGTGTCGCTGTATATTTGATTCAATAGGTTAAAAATATTTGTTTTATATTCTTTGATTCCCTTAATCTAAACTTTAATAGTGTCATACAAATTCAAGTTACTCTAAGTCACAACAGTATTGCCCTAGATTGGTAAGCATACTGAAGCTAGTGTCGTTGACTATTGTAAAATGGGTTATCATTCCTTAATGCCATACATTTGATACTTTGGTCAGAATTGTGGAAATACCTTGGATATTAGTCATGACTTCCTGCAACTTGCCTTTGGACTATAAAATTACAAGATGAACTAGGTACTAGACATCCTCAAAAAAGAGTTGGAGGAATCAATTAGATAACAGTTTTATACTGTATATTTGATTTCCAAACTGTGAAGTAGCTATTTCAGTAAAAAGCACCAATCTCGTGTTAGGAACTTATTCTTCAGAAAAATGGTTTTTGCCAGGACTTGCAATAAATGTCCATTAGATTTCCTCTTCCAGCAATAAAAAGTGGCCTTTTTCTTTGAGGAGATGGCTGCTGAAATAGAGATTGCTACTTTCCATAGATCTGAGAAAGAAGTCTTGAAGATATTTTGATGTTTCATATTTCTTTTTTCTATGGGATGTTGTAAAAAGGAATTCAGACACGAAACATTTTTTTGAAACCTAGTACTCAACAGATATGTAAGCAACAGTATTATTTTTAATTTGGCGTTTCTTTGTGATCTTTTTTCAATAATGGAAACATGCAATTATGGGTATATAATTGTGGGTTGACAATGATAAATAATCAAGGTCTTCCAATTATAACCAATTATAATCAGGAACTCCGAGATGCAAGAGAAGGAGTTTGAGAGGTAGATTACCATTCCTTTTTAATCAATAATTTTAAAGGGAAAGTATGGAAGGGCAGTCAAGCAAATAAAACAGGATATTGGGAATGTTATTTTTCAGAACTTACGGATTTTAAAAGGTTTCTATTCTCATTTTATAAAAACTTCTTAAAGGCTTATAAACTAGTGTTTAGACTACAAATTTGGGGGATTGTCTTGATTTACAAAAAGACTTTTACTTTTAACTATTGCAAACATACAGTGTACCATGTGTTGTTTTAAGCATTTTACATCTGTTAACTAACTTCGTCCTCACAGCAACCTTATAGGGTCGGTATCATTGTCCCATTGTAGAGATGAGGGCACTAGGTCACAGAGACGTTAAATAAGGTCACGGTCACTCAGTGACACTCTAGCTCTCGTTTGAACCCAGGAACTCGGGCACCAGAGTCCTTGTTCTCAAAGTTTACCACCCACTGTATCGTACAACAATTCTTTATACGTGTCCAAGTTTATTAAATCATTACTACATTTCTCTCTCTCTACCCATCAGCATTAATCATTGCTGTAAATTAGGAGATTAGGAGTCTTTTTTTCTAATTCACAGATGAGAGATCTAATTCTTGTAAACACTTATGTTCAATCTTTAGAACCATGAACATTTGTGAGTTTATTTTTTCTGCACAAAGGCAGTCCTAGGATAGCGTGGAAAAGATGGACTGCACTTGGATTGAGCTCTTTGGGGGATAGAAGGAGAAAAGATCTCAGCCACTGCACAGCCTTTCTTCACCCCCGTCTACCTTCATTCTCCAACTAAGGTGAAGAAACTCTAGTTTCGAAGCCATTAGGATGCTGCCTTTTAAGAACCTTTAGAACTATTGAGGATGCACTTGATATTATCATTTGGACCTAAAGTAGTCTGTATAAAATGTTGTGAAGCAGAAAACTGGGGACACTTGTTCTAGACCTCCTAGGTGGCTATCTGATTGAAAGGGGCGTGAAAACCCTCTTCAGTGAAGCGGTTGACAATTCTGAGAAACCTCCCAGGGGTTCTGATTCTGGGGTCCTGACAGGGATCCCAGGAATCGACGTTTCCCAAGCCCTTTGGGAGAGCCTGATGCAGAAACAGTGCTCTGGAGATGGCCAGGAGCCCAAAACCACTTCCTGAAATACGGCCTGGTTTCTCATAGCTTTTACCTAAGATTCTTGGATTCTCTGATTCATGGTTTTCAAAATAGATTATCTCGTATTTCTGGTATATTGTTCCGTCCCACCTGCATTTTACCTCTACTGTAGGCTATTCTCAGTATAGTCACTGCTATTCCTTCTTTGATAATATTTGTCCCTTTTACCTATTTTTCTCCTCTAATTTAAACAATTTCATAGCCTCCTTGTAGAATATTAACTCACCCAACTTGGGAAATTATTTTTCCTTACATGTGCTGAGCTGTTTTTTTTATGGGTTTTTTTTGTTTGTTTGTTCATTCTTACTGAGACAAAATTCATACAACATCAAGCTCACCATTTGGTCATTTTGAAGCATACAGTTCAGTGGTTTTAAGTAGATTCACGATGCTCTGCCGTCATCACTACTATCTGATTCCAGAACATTTTCATCAACTCAAAGAAGTCCTGCACCAGTGAGACAGTCGCTCCTGGTCCCTTCTCCCTCCACCGCCTGGGAACTGCTCATTTCCTCCCTGTCTCTGGGGATTTGCGTGTCGTGGACATTTCATGTCAATGAAGCCGTACGTTAGGAGGCCTTCTGTGCCTGGCCCCTTTCACTTTGCATAGCACCTTCGGGATTCATCCACAGGATAGCACCTGTCCGTACGTCGCTCCTCCTTATGGTTGAATAATACTCCGTTATGTGAATATATTACATTCTGTTTACCCACTGATCAGCTGTGGGACGCTTGGATTGTACTCATTTGGGGGGCTGTTATGAGCAATGCTACTATGAACATCCACGTACAAGTTTTGGTTTTAACCTGTAGTTTCAGTTCTCTTAGGTATTTACGTAGGCGTGAAATTGCTGGGTCCTATGGTAACTCTGTTTAACTTCTGAGGCCCCCCAGAGTGTTTTACGCAGTGGCCTGTTGTACGTTCCCGCTAGCCATGTGTGAAGGGTTCCGGTTTCTCCACATTCTCTCCAACACTTCTAATTCTCTTTTATTTCTTTTTTGTAGCTAAACTAGCGCATGTGAAGTATACTAGCTCAGTGTTGTTTTCACCTCTGTTTCACTGACGACTAATGATGCTGAGCATCTTTTCATTGACTTTTTGGATGTTTGTACATTTTCTTTGGAGAAATGTCCATGGACGTCTTTTGCCCATTTTTAAGTTGGCTTGCCTGTCTTTTTGTTGTTGAGTTGCAAGAGTTTTCAAATATATTTTGGATGCTAGACCGCTATCAGATATATGAATTGCAAATATTTTCTCCCATTCTGTGGGTCGTCTTTCATTTTCTTGGTAGGTGACCTTTGATGTACAAACCCTTTTAGCTCTGTTGAAGTCTAATTTTCTACTTTTTCTTTTGTTGTTTATGCTTTTGGTGTCATTTTAAGAAACCGTTGCCTAATCCAATGCCACAAAGATACACACCTATGTTTCCTCCTAAGAGTTTTATAATTTTAGCAATTACTTCTAGGTCTTGAATCCATTTTGAGTTGTATAGATTGTTTTTTAAAAATATTGTTCCATGCATTTGAGTTATTTTAAGAGATAAGAACATTTTAATAATTGTTGGACTCCTACCCATTCTCTCGTGCATGAGCCGTTTCCCTGATTTCTAACTGATTTTGGTTTTGCTTTTCTGCCTTTACTGCTGCTGCTGCTTATTGCTTCCTAGCTTTCGATGCTGTTTCTCTTTTTCTTTCCAGTGAATTATTTAAATTCTACAGTCTTGATGTTTATTATATCTAGTATAAACCAAAGAAAACATTGTTTATTTTTTCTTTAAGAAATGCCTTAATTCTGGTGACCTTTTGAAACTAAATCGGAGTTATTTTTCATTTATATGGCTTTAAAATTCTACCCTGGTTACCCATTTTTATTTGTCTACTTTGCACTTAAGTTTTATGTTGAACTAATGTTCGAGTCTTTGCTTTGAACTTTGTGCCTCTGTTGACAGAATTTCTGCAAAGACCTCTATACTTGTATTGTCCAACCTGGTAGCCACATGTATCTACTGAGAATTTAAAATGTGACTGGTACGAATAATATGCGCTTTAAGTGTAAAATACACACCAGATTTCAAAGGCATAGTATAAAATACATACTCATATATAAGTAACAAAGATATATATTGATTACATATTAGAATGATATTTTAAATATATTAAGTTATGTAACATGTTTAGAATTCATCTTACCTTTTTTCTGTTACTTAATGTGGCTCTTAGAAAATTTAAAATTATATTTGTGCCTGCATTTGTGGCTCCCATAGTTTCTAGTGTAGAATGCAGCTTTCTATCAGCATCCTCTCATTTTATATTAATAGATCTCTCACTGTATCCCT